CAAGCAAGCAAGCAAGCAAGCGAGCAAGCAAGCGAGCAAGCAAGCGCACATGTATCGACCTTTTACCTTTGCTCTTCAAATCTACCTCGGGGTCATTTTGACATTTCAAAACTTTATTCTCACGTACTGACCTGAAGAATTTTAAGGATTAAGATCATTGTATCACGACCTCATTTCAAAGCTTGATACACAATACAGCTAAAGACAAACTTTATTAAGATAATATGGATGGTAAGCAACCTTGTGGCAGACTAATTTATAATGTAAGAAAGTGAAAAGGTTGAATTTATTTCATATTTTATATTTTTTCTTGAACGATATTACTCTCTGTGCTCATGAGAGAAGACGTACACAAGAGAGAGGGGGGGGGAGAGAAAAAGGAGAGAGGAAGAAAGAAAGAGAGAGAGAGAGAGAGAGAGAGAGAGAGAGAGAGAGAGAGAGAGAGAGAGAGAGAGAGAGAGAGAGAGAGAGAGAGAGAGAGAGAGAGGGAGGGAGGGAGGGAGGGAGGGAGAGGGAGAAAGAGAGAGAAAGAGAGAGAGAGAGACAGAGACAGAGAACCATCCAGTCAGCCAGACAGACAAACAAAGTGTACGAAGAAGAGAGTTGGGGGGGGGGTATAGAGAGAGAAAGCACAAGGCATATCATAACAACATAACTTAACCTGACATGTTTTAGATTAACCCCTTCTTCAAAGTCCTAGCTGCGGGCCACTATTAGTCAGTTTTAAGTATACTTGTTTTTGTCTATTACATTAACGTTTTTTTTTCTCTTCCTCCCTGTCTTGTCCCCATTTCATCCCTCTCTCTTTACCCTCCCTAATTCTTTAAACTCCTATCTACCCTTTCTACCCCACACACATTGCAAACTCCCCCAACCCCCACCTTTCCCCCAACACATTGCAAACTCCCCCAACCCTTTCCCTTCCCCCCCAACACATTGCAAACTCCCCAATCCATTCCTTCCCCCCTAACACATTGTAAACTCCCCAACCCATTCCTTTCCCCTTAACACATTGCAAACTCCCCCAACCCTTTCCCTTCCCCCTCCCTCCAACACATCGCAAACTCCCCCAACCTCCACCCCTACAAAAAAAGGACTTCCTGGCATCCCTCTCCACGGTGTCTCGAGGCACGACGCAGGAGAAGCTTCAGTGGATCTTCGGCCTCTACGACGTGAACAACGACGGCCTCATCACCAAGGCGGAGATGGTGGACGTCGTCAGCGCTATCTATGAGATGATGGGTCGATCCACCGAGCCGCAGGTGGAGGAATCATCCGCCAAGGAGCATGTGGAGAAGATCTTTCATGTAGGTATATGGGGGAGGGAAGAGGGGGGAGGGAAGAGGAGAATGGGGAGGTGGGGAAGGGAAAGGGTATGGGAAGGTAAGAAGGGGAGAAGGAATGGGGAAAGGATGAGGAAAAGGGGGAATGAGGAGGTGGGAAGGAGGAGGAGGGAAAGAGGGAATGGGAAGGTAAGGAGAGAAGGAATGGGGAAAGGATGAGGAAAGGGGGAATGGGGAGGTGGGGAGGAGGAGGAGAGGAAAAGAGAAAGGGGGAAATGAAGGATAAGGGTATAGAGAGAAATTTAATAGGAAGGGAGAGGGAGAAGGGAAGAACAGAAAATGGGTTAAGAAGGAAAGAGAACAGAAGAAAGACGACGTAGAAAATATCTGTATGGACAGAGTGAAGGGGAGGCGGTAGGCAGGAGGAAGAGGAGAGGGAGAGGAGAAGAAGAGAAGAAAGAGAGTGCAGAAGGAGGAAAGAGGGAGTTGGGAGGGAAAAAAAGGGATGTAGGAAGAGTGAGAGAGAGCGAAAGGGAAGATAAAAAGAATAGGTGGGTGGTTGAGAGGAGAAAAGGAAGTGACAGAAGAGGAAAGTATGGAGAAAGAATATGGTAGAGAGAGAAAGAGAGAACGAAAAATAAATAATACAGAATATCACAAATTATACAGAATATCCCCTTAAAAACTCAACCAGTAATTGATAATAATTAATTAAAACAATAATCACCATAGAAATCCTCGTCCTTTCCAGCTGATCGACGCCAACCAAGACGGGGCCATAACCATAGAGGAGCTGGCGCAGTGGGTGTCGCGAGATGACACCATAATACAGAGCCTCAGTATGATGGACACTGTACTCTACACCCGCAGAGATGCCGCCTCCTCTCCGCCCACGCACCCAACCTCTCCGCCCACGCACCCAGCTTCTCCGCCCACGCACCCAGCTTCTCCGCCCACGCACCCAGCCTCCCCGCCCACGCACCCAGCCTCTCCGCCCACGCACCCAGCCTCTTCGCCCACGCACCCAGCCTCTCCGCCCACGCACCCAGCTTCTCCGCCCACGCATCCAGCCTCTCCGCCCACGCGCCCATCTCAGAGTCAGCCATGAAATCGTGTGGTCCGCGCGTCTAAAACTTGGCGGGAATTTTCGAATGTGTCTTTGAAATTTTTACTATGACTGCGATATTTTTTTTTTTCAAAGTCTGTTAGGGAAAAAAACTGTATATTGTACTTCAAAACAGTTTGTTTATTATCTATACATCTATGTACGTTATTCATATGCTTCCATTGTCATTACGAGTCTTACTGACATTATCATTGTTACTACTATTAGCAACGTTATTATTATGGTTATGGTACAGTATCATTACCATTATCGTTATTATCGTTATATATACTATCATGACCATAGTTCTCATGATCATAATCTTCGACAATCATAATTATCATTTTTTGTTGAAAATCACCTTTTTCATGCCACTTCGTTTTTTTTTTTTTTTTTTTTTTTTTTTTTTTTTTTTTTTTTTTTTTTTTTTGAAGAATAAGCTTAAGAGAAAAGAAAACGCTCTTGAAGTTATCTTCTAAAAAAAGCTTGAACGATTACAATAACAGTTTAGATTTACAATGAAGTGATAAAACTAATTAAAATCTATCGTGCTTTTAAAACTGCATTAGAGACCTAGATTGATTGTAGAGATATTATCATTTCAGTGATATTTACAGGTTTAATAAACGCATTAACTTGGATTTGGCTTATAGAGGTTTTATCAGATGCATTAATATCAATCAGTCCGAGATTATTCCATGTTTCTCAAGATAATCAATTGTTTTACTTTTGCAAGCTGAAATGTCTAAATATTTTCTCATGGATCTTTCTCTCTCTCTCTCTCATACATTTTATCTCTCTTCGTTTCCCCGTCTCCTTTCTTTTCTCTCTTCCTCTCTAAGCGTATTACAATAAGGTTTTCAGGGATAATGTTAATATGGTAATATTTTTAGGCTAGTTCCCCCTTAGCCTTTGGTTATGAATGCATTTTCGATGTTTCATTAAATGTGCTTTTTCTTCCTTTTTCCAGAATGTGATTATGGAATATTTTTTCAATCTATTGAGCCTTATATAGAAACGACATATTGTCTAAATATTCAAACCAGGATCAATGTATTTATATTGCCGGCTTACGTTCATTAGTATTTCAGGCGATTATGTGTTATGTGAATGTTTATCTTCAAAATGAATGAATTTCATTTTCCACACATAGACGTACACACACACTCACACACATATACACACAAACACACACACACACATACGTATGTGTGTGTGTGTGTATGTATATATAATATATATATATATATATATATATATATATATATATATATATATATATATATATATATAAATGTATGTATATTTATGTATGTATGTATATGTAGCACTGTACATGCACACATAGAAAACTATGAATTATGAAGGTAATGGAAAATAATAGTGTAAATAACACTTCCTTCCCACAACAACTGTTGTTTTAATTAGGACACGCCTCCCAGCTATGGCGCCTTTCCCTGAGTAAAGGAAACGAGACAGATGGTGAAGATTACTGAAAGCAAAGTCTTTTTCCAGATTTTTCTTCACTGAGAAATTTCCTTCTAAATTCTATCCTTTAAAAACGGATACGTAAGAGTTCCAGAAATAACCTTAAAGGCAAACACATTCTACAGATACAAGAGTAGAAAGATAATGACGTAAAAACCGATAATCGATAAAGCGAAGGACTATGTTATGAGACGAGATTCTCATTCAACCTCAGAACCTTTGCGAATGCACGATGCCAAGCAATTGCAAGAGCACTGCCACACCATCAGGGGATCATAGTGGTGCTTGCAACGAGGGGGTGATGATCCCTGCCTCGTGCGCCCAGTGACCGATCCCAAATGACACAACCGAAGAGCAGAGATAATGATGTGAAAAAAAACGTCTTTTGCGATGTGTGTCTTGATGAGTCTTCTTGGCTCTCCGTTTCTTCTTTTTTCATAGTATATATATTCCAGTAGAGGATAGAAACAACATGGTATCGGAGGTATACTTTCTGAGGTAGAATGATTGTTTTACCGTAGGATCATTGATCATTTTGTGTATATTCTGCTTGATATCCATAAGTTGTTACATTTTTATCCCGGCAAATCAACATTCTTAGTGTATTTTCTTTAAGATAGATGTAGGTGATGAAATACTATGTACTAATACTGAAACATAAATCATAGATATTGCTATTTTAAGTTTTAAAATTGAATATCAGTCTTCAGTACAGTCTTAGACAAAAGTATACGGGCATAGTGCATTTAAACTGTAACAGGTTTTATTTTCTGCCAACAGTAATTCATAAGTAAGGAAAATGGTTGAAACAATTTTTGTACAAAAGTTTTAAATACATATGAAGTAATGAACATGCATTTCCCTCTCCTTTCAGATGTGAATAACCAAAATCCATTATTTAATATCCAAATATCTGCAAAACAAATCAATGCACAGGAGACATATCAGGAAAGCACGGGGGCCTAACTTTTCAATATTGAACAGATACATTTCTTGATTCTAGATAAGAACGTGGCTTATAATTTATAGAAGAAAAAAACGATAAGGTCCATTTACAACTACACTCGATGTATCTACATGTGAAGATAGTTACCTCAGGATTATTGAATATTCCTTCACTATCACAAAATCTTATCAGTCTCATTTGGACCTGGAAAAATAAATCATTAAACTTCACAAATTTCGTTTTTTTACGATGGAAGGCCGAAAAAATAACCATAGCAACAGCAGTGATGATCATAATAACAATAGTGACGGATATAATGAAAAAAAAACTTCTTATATAACCAAAAAAGTAGGAATTACTTAACGAATAAAGATGATAATGACAATAATAAGAACAATAATGATAATAAAGATAATAACAATTACCATTATTATAATAAAAATGATAATAATGATAGCAATAATGATAATAATTTTGATAAGGAAAATAAAAGAAATAGTAATAACGAAAATAATAAGAATAATGATATAAGAATAACAATTATCAATGTTATTATTACCATTATTTTCACAACAAGTATTTATATTATCATTATTATTGTTATTGCTACTATTGTTATCATTATAATGGTTATCATAGTTATCCATTATCATTATCATTAGCATTTATTATTGTTGACATTGACATTATTATTATCACTATTATCCTTATTAGTATTATTATCATCATTATTATTGCAATTATCATAGTAGGAGTAGTAGTATCATTATTATAATTATCATTATTATTATCATCAAAATTGTTATTACTATCATTATCATTATGATAATAATAATGATAACTATTATTATTATTATCATTATGATGATAATAATAATAACTATTATTATTATCATTATTATTATCATTCTCATTATTATTAATGTTGATGGCAATAGTAATAACGATGATAATGATAATAATAATGATGATAATAATAGTAATGATAATAATAACAATAACAATATGTTAATAAGTTATCACATGTTCAGATTAAACCCAACAATTGTCAAATGTCAAACCACAACAAATCAAGAAGAATCAACATCAATAGCGGCGTATTTCAAGGAGACTATCAACGCTCCTTTTCTGCCTTGCTCTAGCCCCATTAAACACCCTTCTTAACAACACGAAACATGGGTATGGAATCAACAAAAGGAAAAACTGTCCAGATATAAAGCTCTAGAAATTGAGATTACGAAAATATGAGGGATGAAGACAATGCCTGTTGTCATCAGGCATCGAGAGTCACATTGACAAGATACCAGGGAACATTAATAACATCATAGGACTTCAAAAGATCGCCCTCGGAGGAACAACCCACATCCTCCGTAAAAGTACTATCTATCGAATGGAGAACATGACTACCTATTAGAATCCAAGAACCTGGATTGGTGCCGGCGCTATTGGTGAACACAACAGGAGAATCAAAAAGAAACAGATAATGATGATAATGATAACAACAATAATATTGACGATGATAGTAATAATAATAAGAAAAATGATAACAATAATAATGATCATAATAACAACAACGACAATAATAATAATGATAATAATAACAACAACGACAATAATAATAATGATAATAATAATAATAATGATAATAGTAATAATAATAATAATAAAAATTATAATAATGATAACAATAATAACAATAGTATTAACAACAACAATAATAACAATAACAATGAAAATAATAATAATATGGCAAAGAATGATAATAATAATAATGATAATAATAACAATAATGAATTAAAATGATAACAGAAATAAGAGTAATGATGATAAAAAAGTAATGATCATAAAAATGATTATAAGTATAACAGTAATGATAACAATGATAATTCATTGTTATGTTGATAATAATAATAATGATAATAATATGGATGATAATAATAACAATAATAGTAATGATAATAATAAGGATGATAATAATAATAACAATAATAGTAATGATAATAATAATAATAATAATAATAATAATAATAATAAGGATAAAAATGATAATGATGATAATAATGATAATGATAATAATAATAATAATAATAATAATAATAATAATAATAATAGCAATACTACTAATAATAATATAATAATAACAATAATAATAATAATAATAATAATAATAATGATAATGATAATAATGATAATGATAATAATAATAATAGTAATAGTAATAATAATAATAATAATAATAATGATAATAATAATAATAATAATAATAATAATAATAATAATAGCAATAGTAATAATATTAATATTAATAATAATAATATAATAATAATAATAATAATAATAATAATAATAATAATAATAATAATAATAATAATAATAACAATAACAATAACAATAGTAATAATAATAATAGTGATAATAACAATGATAATGATAATAATGATAACGATAATAAATATAGTAATGATAGTAATGATAATAGTAGTAATAATGATAATAATAATAATAATAATAATAATAATAATAATAATAATAATAATAATAATGATAATAATAATAATAATAATAATAATAACAATAATGATAATAATAATGATAATGATAATAATAATAACAATAACAATAGTAATAATGATAATGATAATAATAATGATAATAATAATAACAATAATATAAATAATAATAATAATAATGATGATGATAATAATAATAATAATAATAATAATAATATAATAATAATAATAATAATAATAATAATAATAATAATAATAATAATAATAACAGCAACAACAACAATAATAATAATAATAATAATAATAATAATAATAATAATAATAATAATAATAATAATAATAATAATAATAACAATAATTATGATAATAATAATCAAATATTAATGATAATAATAATGATAATAATAATCAAATAATAATGATAATAATAATCAAATAATAATGATAATAATGATGATAATAATAACAATGGTAATGATAATAATAATAATAGTACTAGTAGTAACAATCGTAGTAACTGTTATCAATAATGACAATGATAAAGTTATTTTATATCATTATGATCAGAATCACAATAGTAGTAGTAATAATAATGATAATTATCGTAGTGATTATATCAATCGTGATTTTAATTACAATAGAAATATTTTAGCTAGTTAACAGGAGTCATCTAGTGAGTATATTTGCAGTCGACTCGACGTTATGTGACCCCTTCAATTCTATCAATATTTGTCTTAATACTTCAAAAATGTATTTAAATGAAATATAAATACAATATATTTAATATGATAGAAATAAGCTTTGAGTAATTTGAATCAATGGAAGCTTTAAAATAAGTTAATCAAATACCCGAACACTACCATACAACCTGGATTTAGCGATGTAAACAAAGAATTTGAATCGACAGACCGCGAGCTTCTTTTCAAAATTTCCGTAAGTCGTATTTTTTCTGCTTTTTTGGGGGGATAATTTGGGTTACAGATCAAGACAGTGGTTGTCAGAGATACATTCGGTTACTCGAGTAGAAAAGGAAAACTAATGGAGTAGATACGGAGGTTCGGTAAGTCATGAAACGCTGAAAGATGATTTGGGAAAGTTTTTGTTAAATTCCTTTTTCACTTATTAATTATTTAATTCTTTATTCACTCACTTATTCAGGATATTTGGTTTTGTTTTCACGTGGGGAAGGAATAACAAGATTGGGCCGATCTCCACCTGCGTTTAACACCGTAAAGTAAAAGAAAACCAAACAGTATGCAGCAAATTCGCTTCTGTGATCGTAATATATCGTGAATAAGTGTAGTTTTCGCAGCCATAACGTACGAGGGAGATTCTGCCCGTGATGGCCGGGGCGATAGAAAAATAAGTAAAGGGTTAAGGTTCATCGAAATACTTACTAATATAATCTAAAGTTAGAATTAACCCTTTGGTGTTAGGATGGCATGTACATATATGCCGTCTTTACAGGGATTTTTGTTTATTAACCCGCTGCCAATGGGCATGGCATGTACATACATGCCTTGCCCACTCTGAGTTTACTATATTAATTGATTTTACTCGTAGATGGCTGCTCTTGTACTAAGTCACCAATAAGCCAAGTATGAAATGCGCAGATGGTGAAGTGATGGTTTTAATGGGAAACGTTTGCTCTTACGTGCTATGCCTAATAGTTGTTGGGGGCTGGGGGTTGGAACTCCCCTACAATCTACTTGCCTGGTAATGTTTCATGCTATTTCCCTTGCCCATTGCTATCTCACTGCGAACACTTAATTCAGCGAAAAATATGTCATCTAACAAATCAAGATGATAGTTTTGCGCAGATAGAGTTGTTTTGGTCCTTTTGCGCAGCCACCGTGACAAAGAATAAAATTTGTGCAGTTAGATGCATGGGCAAGTTATTGTGAACGCGCAGCAAAGTTTCCAGTCTGGGCTTTTACTAATGCTTATAACATTATAGTTATTAAAATGTTTATAATAAAAATACTACCAGTGATACTCATAGCATTAGTAAAAAATATGTTTTTCCTGCCAGTTCAAGGAAAGGTGAAATTAAGTAAGGTCACAAGGTCTACTAATAGACTCCTTTTTGGCCAAGCACTAGCAGAGCCATCTACGTGAAGACATTTCACAAAGATATGAAATATGAGCACAGCATTTTCCCCATTTTTTTATTAATTTTCCCCAGCAGCATGTGGTTTAGTTTGTTTACACATAGAGCTTAGTTACCAGGGCATCATTTACAAGTCCTATCTGTCTCACCTATTTGCCCCTTTCCTAGATTTTCAGAATGAAGCTTTTTTATACATCATTGCTATGCTATAATGATCATACCTTCAATAACAATAGTAGTGTTGATATTAATAGAATTAGAAGAAAACTTTTTCCCCCCAAAATCAGAGTTAGAATGATTCCTATTGCAAAATTCATAAAATAAAACTGCAGTGGACAGTACTTGTGCCTGATGCTAATGGGTTGAAAAGATTGCTAGGATTATAGTTAGTGATACATTTAATTTGGTTGACATAATCCAACTTTAATGATTGTACTTTTTTTCACCAATGACAGACTATGGGCAGGCCTAAGAAAGAAGTCGGGCAGTTTGGTTACATGAGACGGATATATAATGGACTCGCTGAAGAGGTAGCAGCATTGCAGAAACGACTGAAGGAGCTTGACAAAAAAGAGAGATTCTTGCGTGCAGAGGCCCTAAAACACCAAGTCCAACTAACTGCAGATTCAGAAATTAAATGGTTTGTTTGTTTTGTGTTTACTGTGTCTAATAGATTTTTCTTAATTATTCTGTATATACCTTATTCAGTTATTTTGTTATAATTGTTATTAACGTCCCTTTATGTTGAAGTGGACCATTTGGTGTGTTTTGTTTCTTTATTTTTCTGAAAATATTTAACAAGGTAATTTTACATTCTCCTTTTATTTAGAATGAAAAGAAATACTTTATGACAATAATTATATAAACATCTTTATTTTTTGTTTTTCTTTCTTCCTGTATTTATTTTTTCTTCATTCTTTCATTATTTATTATTCTTCTCTTTCCCCACTGTGTAAAAAATTCACATACTAAATTGCAAATTCTCTGCATTGCAGTATCCTAAAATCCAAAGCAGACTCGATTCACCTGAAGGATGAACACATAGACATTGTGAAGAAACAGCAGGCAGGTCAGAGGACTGTTTCAGCCAACCATGTGATGTCAGCCAGTGTGGAGGTGGAGGCTGTGGATGGAATGGACGAGGAGGAGGAGGAGGAGGAGGAGCAGCAGCAGCAGAAGAGTAGATCTGCTCCTGCTGAATTACGGCTGCTGAAACGCTGGAAAGTTGAGGGGAAGATTGGTGAATGTTCTTACAGCATACATTTTTTGGCCAACTGCGATGTAAGTTCTTGGTGTTTCTTGGAAATTCTAGCTTGAGAAAATATAGACTACCATTTTTGCAATGCATTTATCATTGCTTGAGGATGTTTTTTTATGATTCTTTATTCCACAGATGGAGAATCCGCATGGCACCATCATGCAAATAGAACAACTAAATGCAACAGAAGGAAATCCTGTCATCCAAGAAATTATTAATTATAAGCAAGATGGTCCCTTTAAAGTGCAACAGCTGACTAATCTTCTCTTTGGGTTGCAGGTATTGATCTCAGTCATGTCTCTTTTACCTATGTGTAAGCCCTTTTTTTTCTCTCTTGCTATCTTTCTTTCCTTTTTTCTTTCTTTTCTTCTCCTGCTCCTCTCTATGGTTATCTGTAAGGATGGTTTTAATGGAATACTGAGGTGTTATTATTGTTGGTAATGTTTTGGACAGGAAAGTGATACTAAAAGTAAATGGAAGCAAGACACATAAAAGAGATTCATTGTTGTTTATTGCAAAGTCCATGGGTAAATTCATCTCACAAGTTGAAAAATGATACAGATTAAACTTGCAAAAGACAAAAAATATATATGCGCAAAGGCAAAGTTAAAAAAGAGAAGAAAGAAATTCTGCTTATATAGAGTTCATGCAAACATCATGATCTATAGAATTAAGTTTACTGGTAAGGAACTGAATAATCTTATTTTGCATAATGCTTTAAAGTCAGTTACACAGGTGGCATGTAGGAGTGCCATTGATAACAGGTGGTGTGTAGGAAAGCTTTTCACATTTTGACACATGCACTTATTGTGTGGCACCAATATATCATCATTATCTATGTGAAATAGATTACTACTTCTAAAAAAGTTTTAATGAAAGGATGTGATTGCATTCGCAATAGTTGATGGGATCTTAAAATTTACCAATTACTTGGAGTGAAGATAGATGAGTTTGAGGAGTGTCAGATATTTTGAAGATATTAATTGATATCAAGATATTAATTGATTTTTACATTGCAAAAACAATGTCTATGGATTTTTTTCTTAATTCTTTCAGTTTAAATGACTAAATATCTGAGTCTGTCAACCTGTGTCTGAGGAGTAGGGCATGTGTACTCTATGGAATTAAAAGTGTCAGCCAGTAATAATCACTTTACTCCATGTCAAATACTCAATACTCATATACTTGCAAGCTGGAAAAAGGAGTGTGATTGGTCCAGCTTGTATAGACTGAGGTCTACTGAATGCACTTGCTTGAAGAGAGACAGATATGCATGTTAATGTTGAATTTATTACATCATGGTACCGATAATTACAGATGCTGTATGAAGCGAGAGATGAAGCCATTGAACAACTGAAGGACATTCCAAATTTAGAAATCCAGCATACGATTGAACCTGTGACCATAGAATTTGAACCCCAGGAAGGGTATCTCATAAAAATAGTCTGGAAAATTGGTTTTGATGACAAGAACATGAGAGTCAAGAACAATATTGCAGTTGTCTGTGATGATGAAGGTAAGTGAGGTGTTGAAATGAATTGCAGGAACTCAATAAGAGCTTGATCTTGTTGGTAATAATAGCAGTAAAACCATGAAACTGCTTCAACACTGGGAATGATTGGAATAAAAATCAATGATATTTGGAACATTAATATTGTAATTTTTTAATGGATTATGTGACAGCAGTGATAGCATTTCTGGTAATAAGAGTAAAATATTAAAATAACCTTTTTGAAAACCTTTTTTTCTCTCTTTCTTTTTTAACAGTAACGGCAAGATTCAGCAGAAGTACAGGATTCCCCTACCTAAGTGGGAGAGAAATTTTAACAACACCTGGGGGTGTTATAGAGTTCGTTGAATCGTACATGGACCATTAATTGTGGCTTTTAATTTTTTATACCATTAGTACAGATATGTATATATTTTTCTTCATATTTTTAAAGTTGAAGCTTTGTGGACGTTCATAAAAAGAGATGAAAAAAACTTTTACACAAACACACAAAGGCATGTGCATGCTGACAGACACAGGTATACGCTCATGCACACATACGTAAAATAATACATATGTGCATGGCAGGAAATAAAAAAAACACTAAACACAATATAGAGGAGACACTAGATTTGAATCCTGGATATCTCCAGATGTGAGAGGAGAGGAAGATATTCAAGAAGGTAAGGGAGTAGCAGTACTGTACAAGAAAGGCTTGCCACACAAAAGCAGGAGCAGGTCAGGTTAGGTTCAGGAGCAGTCTACAGTTTATGGCTGGCAAATGGTAACAGTCTAGGAATATGGGAAGTGAAAAAAATATTTCAGATTGAAGTTGGACCTTTGTTTATCAGGAAGGACTCCACCAGTTTGCAGCTGTGTATGCCAACAGAAATAAAGATAGTGTAGGCTGCTGACCAGTCCCCCTTATACTCCATTCTGATGAGAGACAAGGGTGTTTATGATCTGTCCCCTAGGTGTTGAGAGATACACTTGTATCACTAAGAACAGGGACTGGTATATGGGTCTTCTTTAGATGTAAAGAGAGAGCTAGTGTATATTAGGTTACTGCAGAGAGTATGAACTTTGCAAAAAAAAAAAAAGTATTGAGAGAAAGAAGGTTGCTTGTTGTCTGCACACATTTCTTCTTGAACCTTGGTGTTGTGGATTTCTCTGCATCTTAAACAATGCTGTAGTATTTCGTTGAACACATGTACATTTAAGTATGTTTATATATGTGTGTATGTGTGTGTTTATATATGATGATTTTTTAAAAAGTACAGCTTATTTTATAAAGATCTCATATCAAAGCTTCAATTCAATGGAATTTTATAATTTATGCAATGATGTTGAATAAGGAAAAAAAGATTTTAATTAAGATATATTGTTTTTTTATTCCTTTTTATATGATTATTTTAACAGTATCACACTTGAGAAGATATTTTGCTCCATGGGAGCAAAATTTCTGACCTTCAGTTGAGGCCAATACATAATAGGTCCCTACAGTATATATATAACCTCCTATAATAGTTTGCAAGCACAAACTGAGTTAATTTTTGGTCTTTTCTTCTCCCTATTTCCTTTTCCTTGCCTTCCTCCCCTTCTTCTGTCCACTTGTCCAAAACATTTACTTATATTTACCCTTTTCACTATAATACTTTACTGTAATGCTGTGTGACCTTTGATGTCTGGTACATTTGTTTGTTTTGACTATTTTTGATCATTCAGGAAGACCACAAACTTTTCCTTGTAAGCCAGGATACTTTCTTACCTGGAAGCTTTGCCCCCAAGCCCCAACCCTATCACTATATTTTGTATACATCACTAATAACAGAAAAAAATTCAGTGAGTAAATAAATGATCTCAGACCAATTGCCCAAAAATAAATTTATTAAATATTTAGGTAATTTAAACCTTCCTCAATAATATTGCATTCTATCTTATGCTTATAGTGTATCAACATGAACATTTTAATATTATAAAATATATAATATAAATATATATTATATTATATAATATATAATATGAATATATAATATAAATATATATATATATATATAATATATATATATATATATATATATATATATATATATATATATATATATATATATATATATATATATATATATATATATATATATATATATATATATATATATATATATATATGTATATATATATATGTATATATATATATATATATATATATATATATATATATATATATATATATATATATATATATATATATATATATATATATATATATATATATATAATATATAATATATAATATAAATATATATGACATATTAAATAATATAAAAATATATTATATATATATATAATATATAATATATAATATATAATATAAATATATATGACATATTAAATAATATAAAAATATATTATATATTATATATAAATATATATTATATAGTATATAATATAAATATATATTATATAATATAAATATATATTATATATTATATAATATAAATATATATTGTATATTATATAATATAAATATATATTATAAGTTATATAATATAAATTTAAATGTAAATATATATGTATGTATACATGTGTGTGTGTGTGTGTGTGTGTGTAAATTTGTAATATATAATGTATATTATATAATATCTATTATATGATATGTAATATATATATATATATATATATATATATATATATATATATATATATATATATATATATATATATATATACATATATATACATATATATATATATATATATATATATATATATATATATATATATATATATATATATATATATATATATATATATATATATATATATAATATGTAATATATAATATAAATATATATATATATATATATATATATATATATATATATATATATATATATATATATATATATATATAGATAGATATATAGATATATATATAATATAAATATATATTATATAATATAAATACTATATAATATATATTATATAATATATAATATATAATATATAATATAAATATATATTATATAATATATAATATGAATATATAATATATAATATAAATGTATATATATAATATATATTTTATAATATAAATATATATCATATAATTTATAATATAAATATATATTATATAATATATAAAATAAATATATATTATATAATATATAAAATAAATATATATTATATAATATATAAAATAAATATATATTATATAATATATAAAATAAATATATATTATATAATATATAAAATAAATATATATTATATAATATATAACATAAATATATATTATATAATATATAAAATAACTATATATTATATAATACATAATATAAATATATATTATATAATATATAACATAAATATATATTACATAATAAATAATATAAATATATATTATATAATATAAATTATATATATATATTAAATATATATTATATAATAAGAATATATATTATATAATATAAATATATATTATATAATATAAATATATATTATATAATATGAATTATATATATAATATAAATATATATTATATGATAAGAATATATATTATATAATATAAATTATATATTATATAATATAAATTGTCTATTATATAATATAAATTATATATTATGTAATATAAATTATATATATATATATATATATATATGTTTATATATATAAAGCCAAGGAACACCGCTCTAAAATGCTTACCCTTATATGATTAAACATCCTTCATTTAAATATCCAAGTAATTAATCTTGAGCACTCCAGTGCATAAAAAAAAAAAAAAAAATCTTTCTAAAATCATGGGTGTGTTTTTGTCAAATGTAAAAGAACAAGCCTAAATAAAATCCACCACTGTCAATAATCTTTATTTTAATTTTACAGTTTACAAGTAGCTTTATGGTGAATTGCAAAAGAGACAAAATAAATTAAATTTAGCACTTCATATTTATGAGGCTTTGAAAATCACATAATTCATATAGATATGAATATTTTCGTGATTGACAACTATTCCTCTGACAATCTTTCAGGATATTCACTAACATATAAATTCCAAAGGTATACTATGGGAGGGCTGGTAACCAGGGGGGGGAGGGAGGGAGAGAGGGAGAGGGAGAGGGAGGGAGGGAGGGAGAGAGGGAGAGAGAGAGAGAGTATAAGAGAGAGAGAGAGAGAGAGAGAGTATAAGAGAGAGAGAGTATAAGAGAGAGAGAGAGTATAAGAGAGAGAGAGTATAAGAGAGAGTATAAGAGAGAGAGAGAGAGAGAGTATAAGAGAGAGAGAGAGAGAGAGAGAGAGTATAGAGAGAGAGAGAGAGAGAGAGTATGAGAGAGAGAGAGAGAGAATGAGAGAGAGTATGAGAGAGAGAGAGAGAGAGAGAGAGAGAGAGAGAGAGAGAGAGAGAGAGAGAGAGAGAGAGAGAGAGAGAGAGAGAGTATGAGAGAGAGAGAGTATGAGAGAGAGAGAGAGAGAGAGAGAGAGAGAGAGAGAGAGAGAGAGAGAGAGTATGAGAGAGAGAGAGAGAGAGAGTATGAGAGAGAGAGAGAGAGAGAGTATGAGAGAGAGAGAGAGAGAGAGAGAGTATGAGAGAGAGAGAGAGAGAATATGAGAGAGAGAGAGAGAGATAGAGAGAGAGAGAGAGAGATACAGAGAGAGAGAGAGAGAGAGAGAGAGAGAGAGAGAGAGAGAGAGAGAGAGAGAGAGAGAGAGAGAGAGAGAGAGAGAGAGAGAGAGAGAGAGAGAGAGAGAGAGAGAGAGAGAGAGAGAGAGAGAGAGAGAGAGAGAGAGAGAGAGAGAGAGAGAGAGAGAGAGAGAGAGAGAGGGGATAGTTATACAAATTAAATACACTTCTTGTATATTAAGTACTTTTAGTTATTCAATATCAACTCTAAATATATATATATATATATAATCTTGCAGGTAAAATAAAGGAAAGGGAGAATGAGACTATAATAGTTTTTTTCTATAACATACCCTGCCAGTGCTTTCTTATAAAGAAAAGAATATTGATGTTTATGGCATGAAATTGTCAAATACATCTAAGAATATTCTAGGAATACATACTACCTTTCTTTGCAAATCTAATAATCAGATAACTTACCACTATAGATACCACCAGAAAACAAATGTAAATCTGGCTACTGGCCCAACCACATGTACTACTAGTTTTTTACTATATTTATGCAAAAATAGTCATATATATGCAAATATCCACTCAAGAAGTGAAGTTATATGCCTGAGTATCTATTACATCATGCAAGACAAGAAACCATTCGCAGTGTAAAGAAGCACCATATTAGGATAACAAGCAAATATAAGTATTTGGTTGCAATAGTAATTCTGAGCATACTGTCTAATATCTACTCGTTGCATGCATGCAATGAAAAAGAATTTTTAAAAAGTAGGCCTTGATTCCCTTAAGTTTAGGCTTTCAATGAAAGCAAATGAACCTTCTATAAATATATTTCTTCCTAAAATACCTATTTCTGAAATTTCAATTTCAAGATTTTTCACATGAAAAAATAAAAAGTTCACAGAAAGTATATTGTTTGTACATCTGATAACCCGAAAAAGGTTTGTCTTCATTTTTATTTATCTATTGAAAATTTTCTACCCCATCAACATCTAAGGTCATTTGTAGCATATTCAAAATACAACAATAGGGTGATGCTTGGAAGCGAAGGCCCCAAGGAAGGAAGTTTTTTGGTTCATAAGGTGATGTTTGTAGATTCCGAGAATAGTTAATGGTTAAGAGAAATGTATGTGCTGGATAAAGGTCTTATAGCATTATGATAGAGTACTATGGCAAAAAAAGGGTAAAAATGAGTCGATTTGGGTAAGAGGACAGAAGGGCGTGAAGAAGAGAAGGAAAAGGATAGGGGGAGAAAAAAAACAAGACCTTGCAAAATTAGTTGAGGCGAAGGCTGAGGTCCCAGGTAGAGGAGATCCCCTACATTGGGCCTCAGTCTCCGACTCCAAAGCCCCCCACAACGGCAACGAGCAAGAGATAGGGGGGGGGGGGGGTAAAATTATTAATTATTAATTAATTACTAATTAATTTGTTGAATAATATCTGGTACACCAACATCTTAGGTCATTTGCAGCATATACAAAATACTGCTTTGGGTCGAAGCCCCCAGGTACGTAATTTTGTTTTGTTCATAAGGCAATGTTTGTGGATTTCCAGAATGATTAATGGTCAGAACAAATAAATGTGCCAGATATCAAGTCATATAACATTATGATAAAGTATTGTGGCAAAGAGGGTAAAAATGAGTTAACACTCAGGATAAGTGGACAGATGAAGGGGATGAAAAGAGAAGGAAAAGGAAAGGAGGAGAAGAAAACATCATGCAAAATTAGTTGCAGTG